ATGTAATTAATTAATTAATTAATTGGGGATGGTATTGCATGCATTATTGCAGGTATTGGGATATGGATGGGCTGGGATTCTGAGGAAGTATGTAATAGAGCCTGCCGAAATGTGGTGGCCAAGCAGTCTTGTTCAAGTTTCTCTCTTTAGGTAATTAATTATTACATATATCTGCAACCCTTCAATTTAATTAATGATAAGGAAAAATACTTATTGACATTATATTTGCTGAAAATATACCTTAGCTTCTTGTTAATGACCTCGCTTTGCACCAATTGATATGGGAACTCATTTTTCTATTGAATTCCAAGTTACTGCTGGTGTTGTTGTTTCTAAATTTGTGCTTTTGCTACAACTTATTTCGTATAAGGTCCCTCGTCAACGTTTTTATTTTTTTGGCCAAAAGATTTTTATTACAGTAGAAAAAGGCGTAGTACAACGTTGTCTTAATTCGTATCAAATATAAATATGATCAGAATGAGGCCGTTTAGTATCGAAATAATAACAAGAGATCATACTAAACGAGTCTGTTTTGAATGCCATGCATTGATCGTTTCTCGACTTACGCATCTTTAAGACACTTTGATCGAGCATGACATTTAATGTAATCTTTTCTGCTGCATGCATTAAATGAATTTGAATGATAAATATGACATTACGTTTGTTATACAATTTCAGTGACAATTACTAAAATTTGTTCCTCACCGACCAGTTGAAAATAGATAAATAAAACGCTAACGATGTCGATCGAAACAAAATCGCCAACATCTCGTAGTTGCATGTGTGTCAATATAAATAACCAAATCAATTCTTTAGTTATGTTATTATTAATATAATAATTTGCGCAGGGCTCTTCATGAAAAGGAAAGCAGTAAAAACTCGAGAGCGAGATTCTTTCTGATAGCAATGGGTTGTAGTTTCTGTTGGTACATATTCCCAGGGTATCTATTCCCCACATTATCAAACATATCTCTTCTATGTTTGGCATATCCAAATTCAGTGACAGCTCAGCAAATAGGGTCCGGTATGCGCGGACTTGGAATTGCTTCTTTCACATTTGATTGGTCGGTCGTGGCATCTTTTCTCGGAAGCCCTCTCGTCACTCCATTCTTCGCAATCCTTAATGTGTTTTTAGGATATTTTGTTACTCTGTATATTATGATTCCTATTTGCTATTGGGGTTTGAACTTGTACGCTGCCAAAACTTTTCCGATATTTTCGTCCCATATGTTCGATCATAAAGGGCAGGTATATAATGTGTCGGCTATTGTGAATGACAAGTTTGAGATCGACTTGCCTACGTATGATAAGCTTGGGCGCATCAACTTGAGTATGTTCTTTGCTGTCACTTACGGCCTTAATTTCGCTGCAATTGTCGCTACTCTTACTCATGTCGCTTTCTTCAACGGCAAGTAAGTACGTATTATAATGTACTACAATTATATTCTATTATTATTCTTTAAATTTTATATAAAAAATACGGTACGGCCGGAATGAATGAATGAATGAATGAATTGACAGTGAGATATATGAACGGTTTAAAGATTCGCACAAAGGGAAGCAGGATATACACACAAGGCTGATGAGAAAGTACGAAGACATACCGAATTGGTGGTTTTACGGAATATTGGTTATAACTTTTGGTGTATCACTTTTACTTTGCACTGTCATGATAGATCAAGTGCAGCTTCCATGGTGG